GGGGGGGGGTATATTCCTTCCCAACCCAAAACTCAGCGGTCAGTTTGTTCCTGAGCATGTGAGCAAGGCACACCAGGTACACTTATAGTCTTTGTACCACTTGGGGCACTAATCCATGTCACCCCAGGTCCTGTCTCCAGCTGTGGCCAATCTCAGATGCGTCGGGAGAAGCTGAACCTCACCGGCGGAAAAAATCCTTCCTGACCTTGCTAGGAGGTTGCCCGAAGCACGAGACGTAACTACAGGCATTGCCTTAATGGAGACTTATAAGCCTCCTGGACATGCCGAGGTGGGAGCAGGCAATCCTGGTCTCTCTCCATGGCCATGCGAGAGTCACAGATGCACAGCCTGCAAGGCCAGCTGGGGCTCCCACGGGCATCCAGCAGGACCAGTTCATGTCGGTGGGGTTTTGGTTTGAAAAAATATCTATTTTCCTGTGCAGGGCTGCAAGCAGCACTGAGTTAGCTGTCCCAAGGTTTCATGCCCCTCCGTCCCTGCAGCTTATGTTGAGGTTGAATTTGAATACCTTTGGTTCCCAGGCATTGGCTCTTGGAATGTCTTTTTCCTGATCTACCAGCAATCCCTTCGCCATCCGTAAGTGCCTGCGCTCACAGTTGAAGCCACCCCTTGATCCGTCTTTAGGAAACCGAATAAGTGGAGTTTCTCCAAGCGCACGTTATAAAACTTGCTTTCCAGCTTCTGGACCATTTTTCTGCCCCCCCTGAACTCCCTCAAGTATTTTCACGTCCTCCCCTGATGTGATGCTACAACCCTTTCTCTTTGACATTAGTCCAGTTAAGTAACAGCTTAGACTTCTATTTTTCTGATGAGAAACTGTTTATTGCCTCATCGTCCCCCTATAAGCCTGCTTGTCCCGTACCCACCGAGTCCTGTCTGACCTTGGGACTGTGCTTTCACACCGGTCGCCAGCGAGCCTGGCACAGGGACGGGTGCCGAGGGCTCCTAACTGCTATCAAACCAAATAACGGCCGCGCAGTGATCACAGAATATCTTGCAAAGAGCCTCACTTCTTTCCAAGGGGCCGAATCTGTACAAAGACCCCAGACAGAGATGAGAAGAAAGATGAGGGGTTTTTTTTTTTATCTCTCTTCCAACAGGCTTCCTTGCGGTTCTCTGTTGGAGTGGATGACAGACAGGGATTTTAATAGATCATTAAGATACTCCCATATTTTAACCCTGGTCTATCTTGGTCTTGAGACCCAAAGTAAACAGTGCTTGAAATATAACTAAATGCATTCGCGCTTTCAATTAAGTCTCTCAAACAAGGATTTCATTTAGATTAAAGGAGACATTTATAGTATGTTAATAAAATACCAGTTAGACATAAAAAAAAAGAGTAGGGCCTATAAGTCACATTTAATAATAAATATTGCCACTGTAACAATGTAAAAGGAGACCTGCCAGAACCACACTGAGAATTCACTGCCACTTGCAGCGTAAGGCTCATTTGATATTCATGAGCGAAGCCGACGGCATCACTCAGAGGTGACAGACAGCGGGATCTCAACATAGAAAGGGAGGGAAGCGAGCGGTAATGTTCAGAGCAAACCGAGCTTCTCTTGAAGTCGCTACAGCAAAGGAGAGGCCATGACACAGCAGGGCCTCACGTCCCCCCCAAGAGAAGAGGACAGATGAGGGCACAAGACACTCCTTTCTCCAAAACGTGGGGAAACCTGGTGAAAACTGTGCCGTGCAGGTGAGAACTTGCCATGGGCAGCTGCGGAGCATGAGGGGCAGGTGAGCGAATGAAAGATCGGGCACAACGCAGCTGCTGCGGCCCAGCGTTTGTACACCAGGCGGAAGTTCCCTGTTTAACCTTCCTCCACGCTGCGCCCGTGCATCGCGTAGTGACCCGGAGAAGCACTGCAAGGTCTCCCCTGGGAGGGCCTGTGCTCAGCAGCTGGCTGCCACAGGAAGCTAGTGACAAATAACATGGGGCCTGGACCTGAAGTGTGACAGTCATTCCTCAGATTAGTTGGGCTAATAAAAGATATCACATCTATTCAAAGACCCTTGCCTGCCTCTGTCCTTAGACCAACATGGCTACAACCAACAACCCCATGGTCAGTCCTCACTATTCAAAGCTCTTCCTTTATGTAGACAAGCCCTTCCAGGTGGTTGTAGAGATCGCCAACTTGGACAGCAATAACGGGCAGATTAACTGAGTTAGAACAATCTTGTCTGGTGCGTCCTACACAAATCCCCTTCTTCAAACTCTCTAGTCAGCAAGCCAATGTGCCTTTTCATAGTTCCCTAGATGTCAGGGGCTGGAAGAGACCTTACAAGATCATCGGGTCCAGCCCCCTGCACTTGGGCAGGAAAGACTTTGATCAGACCATCGAGACAGCTGAAGACAGGCTCATTTAGCTGAGCAACCCCAAATGCTGGAGGTTGAAGACACAGAAGGAACTGGGTTGGAGACAGCGCTGTGTGTTCGCCAAAACCAAACTGGTGCAAAACCTAAATGGCTTCCTGGGTTTGCACCTCATCAACCGTCAAAGCACCGGCCAGTGGAAGAAACACCCATCGGTAAAGAAACTGGAAGAAGCCTGAACCTGTGCAAATCAATGAAGAGTGTAATGGCTGGAGCAATTTCCAATCAGTTTGGTTGAGTGAGAGGGCGGGAGAAGTGGGGGAAAACTGGTCATTGCCAAGCTCTGAGAAATGTGATTTTTTTTTTCCTGGAAATTCAAGAATCTTTAGACTTCTAATTTATCTCTGGATGTCAGGTCTCTCTCTCCTTATCTTCCATCTCGAGTTATTACACAATTACAGGGTTCTCTTGGGAGCACAGCGCATGGTAATTTCAGACATGGCTGTAATACTACATCATCATTATTTAATGTATTTAAAGAAGGACACTGAACAGCATCTCGAACGGGCCTGTAATAATTCTAGTGATTAAAAGCTGGGCATAGGCGTGGAGGGAAACAACTAAACTAACTGAAGGTATAAAGTTTTAGTAGATACAGACCTCCGCCATCCATCTTGCAGGAGGGGTTCCTAAAAACTGAAGGCTCTTTAAGGTCAGGTTCTTAAAAAACAGATCCCTCCGTCCTCGAATGAATTGTGAGTAAACTAAAAGCATTATTTTGTCTGGGAAAAAAAAAAGGCAAGTCTGTGGGAGACTTTGGGCCTGCAGAAAACTAGAAAATAGTAACATGACAATAGGGCTGCCATCTTGCCCGTCTCTTCTAATGCATCTCAGTCTGACCTGCAACACTTTGCCCTTCTGCCAGTTGTCCCTGTAGATGCCCCACAGCTCTGCCGATGGACATCGGTCCTGGGCTGCAGCACTGTCCCCTTACTCCAGTACAGCCCGGGGGTTTTGGTACTGACCTGCAATGCAGCGTTATGCCAGCCCTAGTGCTTGGGGGAGCAGGTATTGCAAATGCCCATCACACTGGACTGGACATATACTGGAAAGTCAGTCTGTGCTGTCAACTAGGACCGCACGTAGAAACCACCAGCTCTGTCGTTACTTGTGAGCTCGGGCACACCGTCTTTCTGCAGAGGAGAACGAAAAGGAAAGACCGTCATTTCCTCATGGCTGTCACATCATCAGCAAAGCCTCAAGCCAATATCCCAGGCCTGAGAAGTGCCCAGAGCCCCCACGGATTTCCCTGGGAGCAGAGAGGGGGGCACCCGAGCTGCTGTCATGAACATTTGCCATGAAAGGCTGGCTTGAAGTGCCCATCTCGGATGCTTATCTTGCTGGGATCCTATGACCCTAGCTGACTTCCTGCCCTTTGGGCGGGGGGCTGGACTCGATAATCTTCCGAGGTCCCTTCCAGCCCGAATGTCTATGAAATCTATGAAAAGCCACTTTCCAAAGGAAGTCTTGTTGCAAGAAGCAGTCTGGCCTGTTCCAGCCGTAGACCAGGCGGAGTTAATGTTCCTTTGCTGAGCACCTACTGGGCGCGTCTACACGTTCATTAATGCGCCTTAAGTACTGCGCATTTAGTCTAGCGTTGCTTTAATGAAGTAGCAGCTAAATGCACAGTAACTAGAGATACGGTGCAGTAGTGCCAGTGCACGGTTATTTTGTGACATTTACTGCGCATTAGCCTCACAACACTGCGCAGTACGCTATTAGCACGGTTTTTAACCGCCACGCTACTGCACAGTGTTATTAGGCCAATGCACAGTAAGTGTCTCGTGTAGACGTACCCACTGTGGACTAAGCGTGTGCGTGCAGGCAGTTGCCGGCGTAATGTCAGGCCCAGCTTACCTCTCCCCATGGAAACTCCTTTGTGTGTCTGTGCCCGAGGCATGAGGATGCCCGAGCTGGAGCAGAGGCAGACTTGCCTTTCTGTAGCTATTTTGTCTCAGCAGGGTTAACAGGAATAAAAAACTATTTTTGGTCACGGCCTTCAGAGCACACGACTCCGATCGCGCCGCAGCGAGTAAGAGGCTGCCATTTTCATATAACCTTCCCTGACCATCTACCGCTCTGACAGCGCTCACACGAAAGCACCGTTCAGCCCAGGTCGAAGGCTTTCGGTCGTCCGTAGGGGCTGCTGGAATGAAAAACAGCCGTGTCCCAGAGTCTCAGCTCTCCAACATAACCGCCGCTGGGAGCACGTAAAACCCAACCTGCTGGATGGAACATTTCGAACTTGCGGCCTCGGGCCACAGATATAAACACTCGGGACGGGCCAAGCTGTAAACTATCTGCTTGCTCTTGCATCCGCGCCAGAAACTTCTAATGGCTGAAATACAGTATTTGCAAGTGAACGGCTTGAACACAGGCTCCCTCGTAACTCATCTGTGCGCGCTTAATTTATTCATGGGAATCATTTGAATGTGACATCATACATATTCATGCCGATATTGATTGTGATGGCAGGAAATGTTTGCCTTGTTTTTCAGAATTACGAGGCCAGGAGCTCATATTCCCAGGAAAATCCTTCAAGCCCAAATGGGATTCTGTCGAGCTCTTGTTTCAATCGTGTTATTATTATTACTTACTGGTTCATGCGGCAGCTTATCAGTAATAGATCCATGTACCGAGCTTGTCCTAGTTGTGGTTTCGGCGTTGAACAGTTGTTGCCGGCTGGCGGGGCTGGGAGGAATTAATGCAGCAAACCCCGGATTCGTGTTGTGAATTACCCACTGGGGCACCTTCCCAAACTGGCACCCCATTAAAGCATTCATCTCTGCCTCCAGTAAATATTACCTTCCTGGTGATAGTCAAGGCCGGGCCATGGAGTCCCCAAGGGAGTGTACTCGCAAAGGGTCAAGGTGGCACAAGCAGGGTCCGAGTCCTTAACCATCCCCTCATTTGTGGAAAGAGCCTCCCTGGTGAGTCGAGGATTTATCCCCCGCAATGTCCCTAGATGGTAAGAGAAAGGTGAGAGGGAACTGAGACCCAGACAGACTTAGGGAAAAACACGCCTTTGCTTTCGGGCCCCTGTTTGGCAGAGAAGGAGGGAGGCAAGGGCAGTCACCAGCTGTGGGTTTGGTCGGACTCAAGCTTAGGGTTAGGGTTCGGGTTAGAGACGTGCGTGGGATTTGCATGCATCCCTATGCAGATCCAGACCTAGACAGACAAGGACCTAGCAGTCACCT